TGACACTTGTTATTTTAACTATCTTCACTTTTCGGCAATATTTATTGTTTTAAAAAGCAATGATCAGAATTTCAATAAAATTTAAAATATGAAAGTGAATTTATACATTTTCTTTGTTCTTGAGAATTGGTAACAAAAATAATAAACATTTTTTTTATATATTATATCATTTATTGTAATGGTTAGTAAAACATTGGCTAACTGCCAATTGATTCAAACTTTATAAAATAGTAAATAAGGATTTCTTTATAGTTGGTTCACATGTTTTAAGAATTTAGTAAATGTTTATAAATGTATGAATACAAATTTTCAAATTTATTTCTTTATAAGTTGGTAAATGATAAATATTGCATTGCATTAGTTTTAATACAATTATATTAGTTTTTAGAATGTTGTAAATATTGCATAAATTCACTTTCATCATATGTATAGGTTTTATTACAATTCTAATTGTCATTTAAAAGCAATGGACATTGCTGATGAGTGGAGGTAGTTAAAATAATAGCAGTGTCAAAGGAAAAACCATCCCTTTGACACTTTTTTTTTTGTTTTTTTGCAGGTATGAAAGCCTGAGATTGCCAAATAGTGTGTGCATGGGTATGTGTATCTGAACCGACCTTAAAATGACAAACGAGGTATCTATTTATGCATTTTTATCAGCAGTTGGTATTAATAGATTGTGAGCATTCTATGTGTATAAAAAAAAAAAAATGTTAGTTTGAACCAAATGGTGATATTGGAGAAAATGTTACTGTCAAGGTAAAGTTATGATTGTGGATATTGTAATCTTATCCACATTAATATATACATGCTCTAAAGGGTGCAAAAATACAGTCAGACTGAAAGTTATTTGAAAAGTTTCTTTTCTTTTTCTTTTCCCCGTTTTAAATAACAGAAAGTAAAAATTAAGGACCATTATTGCAGAATCATTGAAAAATGTATGAATTCTAGATATACATTTAGTGAGGTGCAAGTACACACACAGAGAGAAAAATAACTAATTACACAAAAAGTTTACATTGGTAAGTTTTTGTGATGATGGTCATTAAAACTAAAGATAGGCTTGAGACAACAAATGATTAACACTAGGAAATTTTTTTGCTTTTTCTTTTTTCTAGATAACAAAGAAACAACTTTAACTTTAGAGCCAAAATGACATTCTAAAGTAGATTTTGAAAAAAAAAAAAATATAACCAAAAGTTCTGCTTCAAAAGAGCAGACAGACAGACTAAGAAAATGATTTCAAAATGCTTTTATATTCAAGATGGTAAAAAAAAAAAAAAAAAAAATCTGTCTGAATTTCTGCGATGGGAAGTTATTTGCACTATTGACTATCATCCTCATTTTTCTTCTTGCTATCACAACATTTTGACCGTTATGCCATTGAGCCATCATCAGGTGTATGTCAATCTAGTTAACCCACAGGGAATTTCATTTTATCTATAGGGATAGACTCTTCTTTTTCTGCTATCCATGTCTAGGGATATCTCATCTAGTTCTTATATTTAGTACTTCTCAGTTTTTGCTCCCCCTCTTTCTGTTATTGTAATTGTGAGTTCAGTCCCAGAGCCAGGCAGTGGATACTTGAACTCGTTGAAAACAGGACAAGCAGTACTAAAAATAAAAACTAGGTGAGATATCCTTAGACACGGACTGAGAACAGACTACCTCACTTGTAGATTAAATAAAGGGTTCAGTTCAGAATTCCCTTTAGGTTAACTTGAGCGATATACACCTGATGAAGGCCAGAGGGTATAATGGCCGAAACGTGATAGTAACAAGAAAAATTAGGATAATAGTTCCCATGTAAATAGTGTAAATAAATAAAAAAAGTTTAAAGGAAGATAAATAGGAATGCATTGATTAAAAAATATAAGGTCATTTAAGTGCAACAAGCTATGTGTTTTGTGGGGTTTTTTTTCCATTCCTTTAAAATGTCCCCCAAGGATAGAATGTTCTCTTGTTAAAATTATTCACACTTTCAGACATAAGGCATGCAAACTTTACAAGCATACACTCAGGAGCCTCAACAACTAACTTTTATATTGTCGTTCTTTCTAACTGGCCCTTATCATATATTAAAATGTGTAGGCATGCAGTGAACTGTAGAAACAGACATGCCCCGTGGGTAGTTTTTTTTTTTTCTGTTGTTGGTGGAGGTGTCATGTAATTGCAATGTGACAAGATGCGTCACAGTGCCTCTCTTTCTTTCTTTCTTTCTTTTTCTCTCAACACTCACTCATTTTTATGGTTGCTTGTTCTACCTTATATTTCGATATTTTAAAAATGTTTTCTAGAAAGGTGGGGAGCTTTCTTCGGACTTATTTTTGGTTTTTGTTTTTTCTTACTTATAACATGTTTGTTGAGTCGAGTGGATGGAAGGAGTAAGGTGGGAATTTGGGATAAATAAAGATTTTAAAACCAGATGATATGACAACAGACAGTTCAAATTATTGTTCTTTTCATTGCATAGTTCATTTTTTTGGGAAGGGGGGGATATTTTTTTCTTGTTTTTGTTTGTTTTGCCTTTTTTTTTTTTTTTTAGGTAAGTGGAATTAGTAGTGCTAATAGAAACTGAAGAAATAAAACCAAGAAATTGGTAACATTGAAAATATTATTGTTCGTTTATCGTTTCTCCACTTCAGTAAAAAATACTTAAAACAATTTTTATTATAATTTTTTTTTTTTTTTGCAAGTGGAATAAATTTTATTATTTCTTGGTTATTTCATCATTTTTTCTGTTTTTTTTTTTTTAAATGATAATGATATATCCAACACCACCCCACCCCATCCCCCACCAAGACACACACTTACTGATCTCTGCTCACTGCTAAGCTGAGGGAGATGAGACAATTGAAAGTTTTGCTTGTTTTTTTTGGTTTTGTTTTTTGTTTTTATTTGTCTTTAAGAAAATTAGACAACACCAATTTTAAAGTTTCAGGGGGTGGGTGAAAAAAAATAGTGTTGTTTTGGATTATTCTTTGACAATTTTTTTTTTTTTTCTTTCTTTCTTGACTTCTATCCTTCTATGATACACTTCCAGCAGCTGACATGAAATCAATTAAAATCAATGAAGAAAAAAAAGAAAAAGAAAGAAAATGAAGAGCATATCAACACAGTATCAAAATGGAGAAACAAAACACCTGACCAATAACCAACCAATCAAACTGAAGGTTTGTATTCTGTTATGTAATGGGAGTAGAGGAGAAGGAAGAGGAGTATCAACCAATGAAACACTGTGTAAGAAATAACTAATTTTTGTGTGAGACCAATGCAAGAAGCCACACATAGGCCTGGTGCAACAGATGCACTTTCTCTTTGATTGGGGGTGAACATTAAGGGCTGATTGGGGGTCAATAAAAGGCATTCATCTTCCACAGTTGTCATTGTCTTCTTGAGGTGTCCTCCCCTACACGTTTGGGCTGTAACATGGGAATATACATTTTCAAGTTGTTCCCAAAAGTTTCTTAACAAAAAACAAACAGGAGTAAAAAAGAGAACCAAATTGTTTAGACAAAGGAATGTTAGGTTTAATAAGAGATTTTACTTTTTTTTTTCCCCCTTTCTTATAATTTAAAAAAAAAAAAAATACTTTACAACAATCACATTTGCAGCTCAAGAGAAACAATTTTTAAGAAAAATGCCTGCTTCTCTATCTCATGAAAAGAAAAAGGGAAAAAATTTCCATTTTAATTTTTATTTTTGTCAATTGTATGTTTGGGTTTGTGTGAATTTGTCCACATTGTTTAACTTTCAGAGTGGTTGGTATATTTGGTATGGTCAAGGACACTATAACTGTAAATTTGGTTGATATTTTTTTTTCTCTTGTGTGATAATAATTAATAATAATAATAAGTAATTAATATTTTATAATAATAATAATAATATAGTCCAACAACTGATTACTTTTTCGTCTCTTCAATTCTCATAGGATATTTTTGAAGATTTTTTTTTCTCAGAATTTAAAAAAAATTTTTTGTGATTTTTTTTTAATTTTTTTTTTTTATATCACAATAAATAATCTTTATTTACAGCCAGGGTAAGTAAAAGTTTATGGGGTTCCTTTTTTTTTTTTTTTTTGTTGCAGTCGTATAGGTATTGATTTATTTTATTCCATCATCTCTTCTCTCTTTATCAGTTCTTGTGAAGCTACTTGGTCCAACAATTTCATTTCTCCCACCCCCCCCACACCCAGCTCACTTAGCCAAGTCTTTAACGTCACTTTTGTGACACATCTAACAAAATTGAAGTTTGTTTTTTTTTTTTTGGTTTTTCTTTTGTTTTTTTTTAATTATTTTTTTTTGTTTTTTTTTTTTACCAAGGTACAACATCAAAATTGCATTTTTTTTTTGTTTTAGAGGCAAATATAGATGTTGCTTGTTTTCAAAAAACATATTACAGTTTCAATGAATCACATCTATAAATTTATTTTTTCTCCAAACGTTATTTTTGATTCTTCGAGTCTATATTTCCCCTCATCTTTGAATATTTTCAGGTGTCCTATGTCCTTTCATGATTTCTGACTTTCAGTATATTTATACATGTTCAGATGTGTATGTATATATATATATATATATATATATATATATATATATATATATATATATATATATATGTAAATGTATATGTGTGTGTGTGTGTGTGTGTGGGGGGGGGGAGTAAGTGAGTGTGTGTGGGTGGATGCGTTGGTAGGTATGTAAATTGGGACCCCACCCATCAAATATGTTCCTCTTCTTCAGGTTTTCTTTGTTTTTTTTTTTTAATCTAATTTTTTTTTTTTTCTTTTAAAAAATATGTTTGTGTTTTTTTTTTTTGGTTTCATTACAAATTTTTCTTGTTTGTTATTTTATTTTTTTTTTTTACCCCCACCCCACACTCTTCCTTCCAATTTCTTCTCCTCACTTTTTTTTACCCCCTCCCCCAATATTTTTCTTTGTGAAATTCACTTTTTCCTTCCTCATCGATATTTTTTTTTTTTCCTCCTCCTCTCATCTCCACAGCTATACAAGAAAACCTTCCGACATCTGGGCCCCGTAGATTTGTGCCCGAAGCATCTGTACACTGTTCATTATTTTCTTCTGGTGTCCGACTAGGCTGATATTAAGGTCCATTAGATCTTTCATTGTTATCCGAGCGACTTGATCCATGCTCATATACCCCGCATTCATAAAATTCTCGATATATCGTTCCATCTTTATTGACATCAGCCACTCTTCAATGCTTGTGAAGCTGGTCAAGTCAGGAGCATTTGGGTCTATGAAATTGTGGGGTCTGCAGAGAAAGGAGAAAAAATAACACTGTAAAGATATTTTAAAACTTATAACAATTACATTAGGGTTTTCATTTTTTGTTCCCCACCCCAAAAATAAAAATAAAATTAAATATAGGCATGGTGGAGTTAGTGGCTTGAGGAATTGAAAAGCAAAGCTCAAATTCCAATAGAGTTCATTATATTCACTTATATACTAACAACCTTGGAAAAGGTATGAATTCATCTAATCCCCAAACCCAAGTAGTAGTAAATAGCAGGACAGACTGAGTTGTCTAGCCTTGGTTGGCAACTAGTCTAGAAGAAGGAAAACTGAATTCAAACCAGTCTAGAGAGGGTTGGCCTATCTTGCCCTAGACACACCACTGTTGGCCTATCTTGCCCTAGACACACCACTGTTGCAACAGATGTAGTACCAGTGGTGTAATTACAACCCTTGTGTGTTATGGGACTTGTGATGACTATAGTTCTAATTTCTTATTATTTGGACTCAGGGAAATGTGATACAAAGTAATTAAAATCTACAGGCCTTCTCACTTTTTTTTAGAGGGCCTCTCCCTAGTTGAGCATATCTTTGGGGGTGTAGCTGCACTCACTATGCTTGGCAAATTACAGGTTGGTGTGGCTATTTATGGTTGGGGGTGGATTGCTACTGATTCTGAGAAGCCCATTCACCTTTTAAATCTTTATGTGCAAAGTATTGAAAAAAAAAAAAAAAAAAAAAAAAAAAAAATTGGATATAATATATATAT